CACACACACACACACACACACACACACACACACACACACACACACACACACACACCAAGAGAGATAAAGCACTATACGGACGAAGTGGAAACGTAGAAATTTAGGAATGTTGGCAGCACGAGTTAAACTAGCAGCCGCTGCATAGAAGCTTCGAGTCTCTGCGCCCAAACTGGAGGAAACCGACAAATACTTGCCATGGGTGTAACCGTACAAAGTTGATAAAATTATCCGTTCAGGAATCAAATCATGACCACCTTGCCTGCAAAAAAATGGACTCTTCACGTACCTCAAAACATGAAATGGCTCTCCAAATTCATTTTCCTACCTGGCCAGGTGCAGCACTAAGGGCCAGACCCCACTTGCCAACAACTAGACTGCACTCTATTCCATCACATACAGCATGAGGTCATTAACACCTGTATCTCGCATGAAAACTGTGCCAGATACAGCTATAATGACACAACATTGTATACCGCGTAATACGGTATCAGGATTCAGGAACCAGCTGAAAAGGCAAGCAGGTTCCTTGCACTTCCTTCTATGGACCAGATCCAGATGTATGTCACTGAACACACCAAGTGAAACCAACTGTTCTCAAGCCTTAGGTCCAAAGGGCCCGTCCTAGAGGGACGTGTTACCTGCGCCCAGTGGTCGGCCATTCAATCAAATACTAGATAAAATATCTTCACTCCCTACTTATCACTTCCTTAAACGCAAGGCGATGTGCACTTATCTTCAGCCCTCCGTTTACACACCATGCAAGCTGCACGCATCCTCAGCGATTAAATGACACAGATATCAGGGCCCAACTACAAGAGTCTGAAGAAGAAGAAGAAGAAGAAGAAGAAGAAGAAGAAGAAGAAGAAGAAGAAGAAGAAGAAGAAGAAGAAGAAGAAGAAGAAGAAGAAGAGGAGGAGGAGGAGGAGGAGTAGGAGGAGGAGGCGGAGGAGGCGGAGGAGGCGGAGGAGGGCGAGGACGAGGATATGCTCTTACCAACTGTTCTTCACTTGTTGCCGGTGTCATCCTGCTCCCCCTGACTACCTGCCTATCACTCCCTACTTATCACCTCCTCAAACGCAAGGTGACGTGCATTTATCTCCAGTCCTTGCTTTATACACCATGCAACCTGCATGCATCCTCAGATTCCTCAGCGATTCAATGACACAGATGATGTGATTATCAGGACCCAACTACAAGAGTCAGAAGAAGAAGAACAAGGAGAACAAGAACAAGAACAAGAACAAGAACAAGAACAAGAAGAAGAAGAAGAAGAAGAAGAAGAGGAGGAGGAGGAGGAGGAGGAGGATATACTCTTACCAACTGTTCTTCGCTTGTTGCCATCGTTATCCTGCTCCTCCCGACTTCCTGCCTATGCGCATCCCCTCTGCTGAGATGGCACAAGACTTGACTCACTACGGACATCGAGCACGAATTCAGCTGCAGCTTACGGTCCTGCTTGCCCCGCCAGGCTGCATGCATGCTTCCATGCTTGAACCAGACACAGCAACTGGCTGCACAGCTGATGTGGCTGTCCATCAGAAAGCAAATTGCAGGTAAAAAAATGTGGCCGCTCATGTGGCACTGTTAGTGCAGGTGTAGCCCAACATCTGCAGTACACTGGAGAAGAACACATACTCACCCAAGTTTTCTAACAGCCATTCTTCCTGTCTGCCTCTGAATCTTCAGTCCAGGTGCATTTTTCATTCTGCCGATGCCGACGGAGAGTCACTGCACTCCCCACCCTGTGCCTCACCACACTGTCAGGTTCTCTGACACCTGTCGCGAACAGATCAGCAAATCCATAGTTTGCCATGCACAGCATCACCTCTTATACCACCTCCTCAGCATGAGGGTGTCCACCGTCCTACCAGAATTTTTCCAGCCATGCATCTCAGAGAAACAGACATGTTTCACTGTTTGCTGTAACAGTTCTGGTCTCACCATCATTTTCATCCTTAAAAGTTTTTTAGGAGTATTCTTTGCATTCCTCCTGGTTCATTCCTGTTCCTGCTGCATTGTTCCTGTTCCTCCTGGTTTGTTTCCATTCCTACTGGACAGTGGTTGCTTCTGATCATGCCTTGTCTTGACCATCTCTAACGTCAATGCGTTCACTAATTTAGCTGTCGTCCGTTTGTTGCCATGCACAGCATCACCTCTTAATACCTCCTCGCCGTCCTCGGCATGAGAGCCCCCTCCCCGACTTTTCCGCCCATGCCTCTCAGAGAAACAGTCATGTTTCACTCTTTGCTGATCTGGCCTGACCATCATTCTTAGGGAGTGTTCCTTATAGGTTCCTTGTCTGTGCCTGTTCCTCCTACCGTCTCCACCCGAATAGAACGCCTGGTCATTCTAGCTGCATGTGGACTGAAAGGTGCGCTGAACACAGCTATACTGACCGGGCGTTCTATTCGGGTGAAGACGGTAGTTCGTTCCCGTCCCTCCTGCATTGTCGGTGATTTGTTCCGCTTTGAAATCCTTGACAATGTCTGTTCCTGTTCCTCCTGGTTTGTTTCTGATCCTGCCTGGACCATCTCTGATTTGATAAGTTGACTTAACGCAGCTGTCGTCCGTTGATCAGCGACGGAGAGAAGAGGAAGGAACAAACCTCAATGGGAGAATCTGATGCCGACGTAGTGATTGGCTGGGCGGGCGTCTCTACGTCCACCTGTCCGCTTCTGTGTCAGTTTAATGAATAGACGATAACTCCCACGCCTTGAACGGAGCCGTGTACAAATGAGCAATCACTGCATGGGTAGACAAGGTCGACTTCCCTCTCCTCCACCAAGATTTCCGCAACAAGAAGCGCTGGACATTGCATGGGTCGACAAGGTCGACTCCAGCATCTTGAACAGCACCATGGACACATAAGCAATGAATAGATGATGACCCCATGATCAATCTTGAACAGAGCAGTGGACACAGGAGGAATAGGTCATGCCTGTGGTCGGCGCACAGTCTTCACACCTTCCCTCCCTGTGTGGGATAAGAGCGTATCTATTTCTTCTTCGGTGCGATGTCCAGAAGAAGACGGAGTACTAGATGTGTTGGGCATCATCCAACCAACTGCCCAAGCCATGGAAGCCACAAACAGTAAGCAAGACAGCAGAATCATCGATATCCGCCAATCGTGCACATGGTCCTGAATATACCCCACAATCGGTGGCGAGGGAACATCGCCGAAGACATGGATGGTAACCGTCCCCATGGCAATTGATAGTGCTTGTTCTTTCGGTGGAACGCAACCCAAACTTATGATGTTTACGGGCCCCTGGATTGCGAAGAGAAGAAACTCCCCTAATGCAATGAAAATTATGAAGGCCAGTTGGGACTTCATAAAGAAGGAGATGATGCATAAGATACCTCCAAAAAAGACGGAAATTGCACAGAGACCGAAGGCCTTCGATATTGTGGTCCCGATCCTGTCCAGAACCACACCCCCACAGAAAGTGCCAAAGATGCCCGTAAGCACGGTGATGGCTCCGAAGACCTCATCTGCGCTCGCCATGTTGAAGACGATCTTTGCGGCTCTTGGACCCCAAAAGGCGTATGCGCCGATGACGGCAGTGTAGAAAGTATAGCCAACAGCATTTACCACATAGACTCTGTTCGTAAACAGCTCTTTCAGGTCTACGAGAAACGCCCCCACACTTTTCCCGAAATCCTTACCCCCTTGCAGGAGGCTGGCGAAAAACGGCTTCTTTGTTGAATAGCTCCTAAGCATCGGTTGGCGCACAGAAATCTGCGCTCGTATATCGCCCATCACCTGGTCACTCGAATCGAGAGCATCCGAATAGATCGTCGAGGGATCCAACGGCTTTCGCGCTCCCATCCCGCTCTTGAACTGAAGGGGCTTTGCAACGAAGCCGAAAACCACGGCGGGAAACATGAAGAGGGCTTCAATGAAGAATGCCATCCGCCACGAGAAGACGCGCGTTATCAGGCCTCCATAGACATAGCCCAATGCAACCCCGGCAGGGATGCACATGTAAAACAGCGACAACCACAACGACTTCTTATCCGGAGGAGCATAATTGTCAATGAACGGTGCCGCCAAACTTACAAAGGATGCCTCTCCCACCCCGACAAACATTCTACAGACTGCCAAGAAGATGAATCCTGGGGCTACCCCACAGCCAGCCACTGCTAGTGTCCATACACCAAGACCGATCCCGATCAATCGGAACGGGTTCCACGTCTTTGAAAGTTCTGCAAATATAGGGGATGCCACCAGAAGGCCAACCATAAAGGCAGATGGAAGAAACCCATCCTGTGTGTCCGATAGATCAAAATCGCCTTGAATGCCCAAGGGCGATTGGCAAATGACATGTAAGTCCTGAGTGCAATTGCCCCGCATGCCATTCACACCATTACTGGCAATCGCTCCCCTGTCCACATAGTTGATCAGGTTAATGATGCAGAAAATCACCAGCAACCTCTCGGGGGTCATCCAACCCCAGTTGTCCTCCTCCTCGTTCGACATCATCACCTTCAAAATCTCTTTCAGGCTTTCGGCTCGGTGGTGAAACCGCTTAGCAAGGCCAGCGGCAGCAATACCACACACAAAGAGAGGTTCTTGCCACACAAGTGTGAAGTGTTGATCGGCAACGACTTGTACACATGCATGCGAAGGGTTGTTATCGCAGCCGATTAGAACTTGACTTGGCCTTCCTTCAAATTTACACAATCACAGCGATTGCGTTCGCGTTTTGCCGACTGCTAATTGCTATAGATGCATGCGCTGAGTCAACCTGGCAAAACGGAAAGCGGAAAAACTTCAAAAAAGAGGTGACTCAGAAATCCACATGCAAGGAGACAGGTAACAACCGGCAAAACGGAAAGGGGAAAAAACTTCAAAAGACTTCAAAAAAGAGGTCAGAAATCCACATGCAAGGAGACAGGTAACAACCGCGCCCATGCAGCAGAATAGTACATACCTCTTAAGTTCTTAGCCGTTGATCAACAGGTCAAGCGTACAAATCCTGAAAATGAAAGATGCATAGTACGCTGAGTCAAGCTGGTAAAAAGGAAACTTAAGGGGAAAAAACTTCAAAAAAGAGGTCAGAAAAATCCTCATGCAAGGAGACAGATCCAACCAAGAGCCCATTCGGCAGAATGGTACGTACTACGTACCTCTAGCTGTTGATCAACTGGTGAAGAGTACGAATCCTGAAAATGAAAGGGATTCACATGTTGCCACACAACGGCCCCGGCACCGTGTCCCAATTCCTGTACCGTAGGGCCGCAGTACAACCTTCCGGTAGGTACCGTACAAGCCAAAGTAGACTCAGAGATGTGATAGGATAAGAGCGATAGGAACAATAGGGGTCCGTAGTAGTCAGTAATAAGTAGGTAGGGAGTCGCCATGTGTCCAGCCCCGGTCCAGTTGCAGCTCATTCCCAGGGAAGGCCCACAGCAGACTGAATCTCTGTCGGCCGTGGCAGGGCCTGGCAAGAGAGGGTCAGGAGTCAGGACTCACATGGGAGGAGGCAGGCAGAAGGAAGGGCACTGTTCTACAACTTCTTTTTTTAATGGATTTTTTATTTTTTTTTAATCATTGGCGGGGTGATGTGGGTGACGTGATCCTAAAGGTGTTACCTGATCCAAATAAGACGATGTCGTACAGCATTTTTTCCCATTTTCTTTAAATATATATTTTTTTAAATCGAAATTTGCAAAATGGCAGGTAAAGCATCCCTGGTCGGACAACAATGGAAAACGGCACAGGAACTCGGGGCAGGGATGAAAGGGAGCCACAGTGTACCATGCTGAGGCTGCTACACGAGCCCTGGGCCCTGTTTTGGGGCCCGTCGGTTGTTCCAGGCCCCCAGGCCGCACACCCATTCTTGGTGAGCGACCTGGAGGCCCACGGCCATTTCCCAGGCCAGGCACACTCTTGCTTCCACCCGTGCCCTCCTTTATTCAGCCTTACATTATTATTTTTGCTGGTTTTCGTCTGGACTATTTTTGTCTGTTTCAGATCTGTCGGTTCTGACTTTTCCTTTTGTCCGAACAGGCAGATGCCTGTTCGGACCAGGGGATTTCAGTTTTGGGGCCCATTGTAGGCCAGGTTCAGATTTGTCCGTATTTGGGAATGAACAGACATTCGTCCCAAAAAAAAAAAAAACAGGCATTCGTCTGTTTGTGCCTGGCCCAGTCCTCAGGACCCCGCTGCGTCAGCAGGATTGACTGGACGTCCGGTAGGGAGCCAGGCAGGGCGTTTTTCGCCAGGATCGTAGGACCAGGACTTGGGGCTGCAATCAGGACCATCGATCGGACATCAGATCGGATGGTCCCAGAAAGAGGACTGCTCAGCCAGGCCCAGCGGTATATATAGCTGGGCCAGTCCTCCACTTTTGAGGACATTGGGGCTGGAGCCTCAGTTGGGCATCACGCTGCTTGAGCAGCACCAGTTTGGGGAGAGCTGCGATGGAGCAGCGCTAGAGGAGTAGAGGAGTAGGCTGGAGTGGAGGGATTGGCGGAGGCCACGTCCACGAGGGAGAGAGAGACTTACCTGGGCGCCATAGCTGGGACTTCAGACTGGTCATGGACCGTCCTTCAGCAGTGACCTGCATCGCGAGTCATCACCTTCGCTGGTCAGTATTCGTGGCATCATCATCAGGGGTGTGTGAGAGAGGAGAGTTCCTCATCTTCTTCTCCTTCTTCTCCTGATTCTTCTCTGCCCCTCCATAGCCACTATTCTTCTTTTCTTCTCCTCCTCCCTCTTTTCTTCTTCTTAAGAGAGAGAGAGAGAGAGAGAGAGAGAGAGAGAGAGAGAGAGAGAGAGAGAGAGAGAGAGAGAGAAAGAGAGATTTCAGGCAGTGACTAATTCGGGCCTATGAGCGCCCAGGATCTGATTCGACATTTTTTAGGACAGACATTGGCTGGACATTTGACGGGGAGATTTTTTTTTTGGGACAGCTACGGGTTCGACTCTTGTCCTCTCTCTACCCTCTCCACCTTCGCCTCTCTCCTCCTCCGTCATCGTCCATTGTTTCTTCCCCATGTGTGTGCGCAAGGAGGGACCTTTCTTCCGTGTATGATGTCCCTCCTTGCTGTGCGACGTGCGTGATGATGATTGTGTGAGTCGAGTTTGTATCTGATGTGTCAGGTCATATCTTCGAGTCTTCCACTGCGCTACATGGCATTATCTCGTTTTGTTTTGACTCCTGTTCATCTGCACCACTCATCTTCAGATGATCATCCATCACACAGGCTGCTGGGAAACCTGACTGATGTCCTCATATCAATCGCAGTGGCCTGGAAGCACCTACTTGAAAGGGGGCCTCAATGGGGAC